CCACACTCCTGCCTACCTTTTCCCCGGAACTCACTGACGTTCCCTTTAAGCAATGCTGACGTTCCCTTTAAGCAATGCTAGTCTTGCAACATCCTCCTGTTCCTTCATTGTTAGATCGAAGGAAGACACGCTGGCCGACGACACAACGCAACTCCCTGCCCAATCCGTGCAAATTGCCAAATTGTCATCCCAAGCCCCCAAATGTTCGGCCCAAAGAGGCGCAACCACTCGCTGGCAAGCCCCTCAAGTCCCGGAATGCGGTCACCCCAGCTACGGTTCAACTGGTTCGGTCCTCCTCCATGCCCTCGTGCAAGCGCGAGAGGGCGTCCAAGAAGGTGACACAGTCCATGGCGCCGAAGCTGGACACTCTCTTGGCCACCTATCGAGACGTCCCCATGGTTACGGCTCATTCTGCACTGGAAAGTGCGGTTCTCAGGTGTCTGAATGCTTCAAACTGCTGTCATGAAGACTGCGGCCACTTCGTGGAGCTTCCACATACTGATGCCTTCTTCCCCCGCCTCGGCTCCAATGGCATCTTGGAGCTCTTCATTGTACATTGCCACCTCTGTCAAGCAAAGCAGGCACCATTCCGCACAAAGCACGCTTGTACGTCCGCAGTGAAATCCCTTGGTGCCACCAGCCGCGCCTCTGCATACGAGCGGCACAAGCTGGCGAGCTCCGGTGGCTTCAGGTCGTAGAGGTAAGGCGGCATAGCTTCCGCAACCTCGGCTTCGAGCCGTCGGCCTAGTTGGCTCAAGCGACTGGGCGCCCGCAACTCACCAAGGCCCAGTTCCCAAGGCCGCGGCCAACGAGAACAGCTCGGGGCTGGGCACCTACGAAAGCACTGCTTGTTTTTCGTTCACATTAGGGCTTCTTTGACATTAAACGCAAATGGCCAAACATAGTCGTCTCTCAGGCTCAGGCCGGCAGCCTGGCCTGGGCAACGAACCGCGCCCGAAACGCGCGTGAGAATCCGAAAGCATGTCTTGGTCTGTTCTTCCTAAAAGGCAGGGCGAATGAAACATCTGCCATGCGGAACTTCAAAAATCGCCCACCGATCCCCCCCCCCCCCCCGCAAAAAAAAAACACACACACACACACACCCAGCAAAACGACAATACAAGTCCTCCAAGAAACAAACAGACCCAACCAAAGAAAGAAGACTCCACCCAACGTCTTCCAACGTCTTCCTGGTTCCCCCACGTAGGCGTCCGCGATGTGCACCAGCTCCCGCGGCCGGAAGCTCTCCACGCGGTCCTCAATGAAGGGCACCATGGCCTCGAGCGGCGCTCGGCGCGCGGCCCGAGGCTTCGGATTCCGAGTCACAGAGGAATTCTTGGATGGACTCCTGCCGGCTTTATGCGGTCTGTTCGAATGAGTTTGCCAAACGACGCCTTTTGACCTCTCAAGTTGGCAATCTGTAACTCTTCACCCTCAAGCCTTGGCAAAAAGACTACAACGGCCAAAATAGATAGGAAGGGGTGGGGGTAAGCAACGATCATCAACGAATAATGTTGAGCAATTGAAATCAAATTAAGCTATTGTGGGAACAGAAGCAGGCATGTTTAACCTCATGCATCCACACACTCTTCGCACTGTGGAATTAACAAGCACCACAAAGACGCGCTGAGAAACACACATAGATCAACTATCAAACCCCGGAAAAAACTATCCCCTGATATCCTTGCTGGTGCCCAGCAGGGAATGAGGGAATGAACCTGGCGATTCCCTTGAAACGGTTTATAGGGTTTATAGGGGTCATTCCATTTTTCTATCCCTGCCTATCGCACCAAGCCCCCGGTGACCGGAGCGCGCCCATTCGCGCACGCCTCTAGGAGTTGGCCGTCGAAGGCGTTCGCCCGCCCGCAGGCCACTGCTAGGCTGCGCAGCTGCGCGGCACTGATCTCGCGGAGGTGAACACATGGGGACTACTTCGAAGCCTCCGTTGGTTGGTTTGGGCTTTGGGCCAAGACTCTACATGTCCATGGTGGGAGGATTCCAAATTTGCCCGAACTCCCTATCTTCAAAAACAAAATCGATGGGGGAGGGGGAGGGGGGCAGGGAATGTGCAGATGCCGGTGGTTTGCTGTGCATGAAGCATGGGAGTTTCCAAAGCCAACATGGAGAAACGAACGCTCCCAATCGCTCAGAGCATCTTCCTGATCCCGGCATTCAATCGTTGCAGCCAAACCGTGCTTTGAAGAAATGGCCAGAATTCTCGCATGGAAATAGCTCCCAGATCAGCGTCGCCTCAAAGCTTATAAGGACTTGCCACATTGACATGAGGCCAACGCAAGGCAGAACACTTGACTCATGTGTGAAAGCAGCCAAATTGACTCATTGGACACGCCGAAGAGGTAGCTCCATGAGCTCTTGACAGAAAGCCTCGCAAAATGTCCAGATGCACCAGTGGAGGGTGTAAGTTAGTTTGTAGCCGTATTCATAGGTCATAGGTCTTCAGTCCACCTAGTGCAGGAGTTTAAGTCCATCCTAACACTTCAGTTTGGGCCCTTCCCGCAATTCTCGCCTTGTCCTCTGCTTCCGGGTCACCATCAGGCCTCAATGCAGGCGAGCCTTTCGTCTGGAAAGGACCAGTTTCCGCCTTCAATGCCATCTTGCCATGATCACAAGGGGTGTTACGGTTCAAAGGCTTTGCCAAGCTTTCCAGGTTGCCTTCGGATGGCATAGCTGGTGACAAAAGTCAAGGTGGAAGCTGCACAAACGCCTTTTGACATTCTTGATCGGGCTGAATTTGATGGGCTTGACACCCCAACATCATTCCCTGTATTGCCACTTTGAACATCACCACACCAGAGGGAAAATGTGTTGAACATAAAAATGCAGCCCAGAAGGTAATGCAAAAGGGGAAACATGAGGACCCCTGTACTGCCTGCAATTCTTCTGGGCCCTTGGCCGGTTCTGCAGGCATTCTAGCGCTCGGGCCTCGCTCGCACCCTCTCGGCCTCTCACCCTCGCACCCAATAACTCCCGGCTTCCGCGTCTCTGGGCCCGGCAGAAAGCTTCGCAAAGAGCGGGAACTCCACCTCGTCCGAAACTGGGATGCGATGAACATCGATGTACTCTTGGAAAGCCCATTGCATGAATCCCCCACTCTTGGGAACAAACAGTCGGATCTGCAGCAACATTTGTGGTTGAGCTTGAACAAATGGCGCCCCACATCTCAATGCGCTTGTGCTCGACCATCATGTCTCTGGGCTAGCGGCATATCTAGCAGTGGAGAATGCGGAGGCAAAACGGGCCGCCTGCAGAAACGGTTATGCGAGGCAAAATCAAGGCAACCTCTGGGGCACAAGCAAAACCTGGTATTGAAGGGCCCTCAGAAAATAGTGAATTCGGCCCAGGTTTTGCTCGTAGCTCGCAAGTGCCGCAGAAAAATTGGATGCAAAAACGAGCACAGGGCATCTATGAGGAGAACTCAGCTGGCATCGGAATCTCTCGACTTGGGGTCCATCGGCCGGATTAGGCCATGTTTTCACACTACGAAAGAAGAAACGGAAAGATGATTCTGGGGACCAGTGGACAACATGTGGGATGAACCTAGAACATCCAGTCACCCAAAAGACTTCTTCCTCTCAACATGATGGGGCTTGGGAGTGCGCAATGGACACCCAAGATTAGTAAGCCCCGACTGTTTTGACTGGGGAGCAGTCAAACCATTTTACCACCGAATGGGCATGTGTGAAAGACATGGGGGCCCAAAAAATGTGTGGTTTCCATTTAATTTAACAATGATTTTGCTTTCAAACAAGATGAAAGGCTGCCAACTCCAAAACAGCCTTGGTTTGAAGAACAACTCAGAAAAGCTAGTCCTAAGGTACCCCTTGCCAACCCAGGTCCCAACAAGCCGACCGCAACCGACCGGCACCCAAGCGCCTCGTCGAAACTCAGCTCCGGCGCCAGCTCCGCAGCGCGGGACGCGTAGCTGGCCCAGCGCTCCTCAGATCTCGACCCAGCCACATGGATATGCCTTTCTTAGGCTGTTCCCCAAAATGGGTGGTTTTCACTTTGGTTTCCCTTTAAAACCACAAGCCAAAGGGTAACCTCAAAAAAAGACAAGCTCGCATGGGAAACAGGGGGGTGCACTCGCTGGCCCTAACAAGCTCGTGCGAGGACAACAAAGATCATCATCGACTAAGAAGGCAGACATCGGTAAACAGAACTAGACAAATGAACAGCTTGACAGGCAAACTAAAAACAGGTGGAAAAAAGAAGGTAAATGCTCGGGCGAACTGTCTAAACATGTCTAAACCAATTGAAACAGAAACATCACCATCATCACCCCTTACCCCCGCCGTCCTCCCCGAGCTGGCCCTCCGCCAGGGCCTTCTTCGCTGCCCGCCCCAGCGCAGCCGCACCAAGGCGACCCACATCCTCAGCTGCCCAGGCCACCCGCGCCAGGCGCATGGCGCGGCTTCACGCCGACCGAGGGGGGGAGGGCAAGGATATCCAGGGTGTGGGGTGATGCGAGAGCACTGCATGTCTGGAGTTTGCACAATTTCAGGCTGCGCTGTGCCACTTCTAGCACTCTGTGTCTTGCGACAATGCTTGTCTTGCAGCGAGCAATGCTTCCTTGCCAGGGTGAAGCATCCGCCTTGCGTGGTGTCCGACGCAATATATGCAGGCTGCATGTGTGTTTTTCTTCTGCTTTTCTTCATATGGACCACAACATAAGCTTCGATGAACCTGGATGTTTGCTATCCAGGCAGCTGGCCGGCTGGCAGGTCAAGACAATCCTGCTGGATTGCGCCCGGCTATTGGATAGATGGGATAGCTGGGGCGCGGGGTACATTGGAGTTGGTCACACCTAGTTGCTTGGCAAGTCAAGCTGAAGCTCCAACAGCTGCGTCAAGTGTACGTTTGGAGATATGCCATCAAGTGCAGAACGCATGTTCAAAAGCCTGGGGTGTGCAAGCTTGGGGCCAAACACCTCAAACCACTAGGTATCAAGGAAGTCTCTCGCTCATTGTCGTGCCCCGTGCCTCGATGAGTAGCACGGCGACCTGTCAGGCACGAGTCCCTTCCGCCAATCAAACTTCATAATGACCTGCCCGCTTCGTGAACACCTCAATACACAGAAGACAAGGAATACAATCATAGGCACCAAGCAACCCACAAGGCAAGACTGGCGAAAAAGGCGTGAGATTTGCACAAAATGGGGGGGGGGACCTCGGCGGGGCACAGGGCGCATTGAGCCCTGCCTCTGATGTCTTGTGCACATCTGTCGCATCATCGAGCTCTTGCAGGTGCATGGCATCCCATCTGTCCTGACTCCAAATGCTCGCTCAAGCCACCATGCTTCGGCAGATGCTCTCTCTCTCTCTCTCTCTCTCCCCGTGCAAAATCAGCACATGTGGAAATCCGGAGTATAAGATGCATGGATGCATGGCAAGCTGGAAACCGCAACTGTCCGTGTGAACTGCCGGGCCTTTCCAAGGGTCAGCTTGTTGTTGAGCTCGACTTCCAGCGTATGGTGAGCTCCCATCTTGACCCACTGATTCTCCTCGAACAGACCCGACTTCCAAACTCGCCAACTCACCAGCAATCGTTTCAATGCCCTGAGCTCCCTTTTCCTTTCAGCTCTTGCCACTTCTCCATGCGTTGGCTGGAGGCAAAGTCAAGCAGCAGCCGGCTCGCGGCTTCGGCGCAGAGCGCGGCGTTGCAGGCGGTGACGATGCAATGCACGGCGTCGGAGCTCCAAACGCGGCGGGTCTGAAGTTGCAGCACCGCCACAGCTTCAGGCCACCGCAGGCCATTGGAACACGCCAAGATGGCGGTGTCGAAGGAGATCGCATCAGAATGGCTTTGCAAGCCTTAGCCAGTGAAACGCTGAAATGCTGGCGCGCCTTGCGGCTGTGTCATGGAAAGTGGTGAGATCAAGCGGACAGCAACCAATCCCAGCCAGCTTCCATTTCGTTCATGCCACAAACCAAACCCCTCACAAGGAGAATCCTTTGCATCTCCAGCCCAGGCTCGAAAAGTGCACCGGCTTTGCAAACCAAGGCCCGGTCCCATGCGCTCCAGCAAGAGGCAAGGCAGCCTCCAAAACTGTGCCTCGGAACTGAAGTGGTGCCAAGAGTCCTTGACCTCACCTACCTGCGTGCGCTTGGCCAATGAATTGCAGGTGTTCAGGCCTTCTTCTTTAGGGTTTGTTGCTACTCTTGAGGCGGGGAACTGCCATTGGTTTGGCTTGGGAATTGCATGATGGCCAGACCTGACCCGACAAAAGCTGCCTGGACAAACACCAGTTAACACTGAACCTTCCTGCTGTGTTTTGATGGTGTGTCAGTGACCTGACCCGTGCAGCACATACCGTTTGCAGAGATAACGCGAACCTTGTACAAGAAAACATCTCTCAACGCAGTCTTTGCTGGTGCTGACTGGTGGGCAAGTCACCGTCTTTAAGTTGAGCAACCAATCCAGCTGTTCTGGCGGAACGAAGGAAGTCAAACGTACATGGATTCTGCAACTCACACGAACCTTCAAAATCAGCTGTACAAACGAAGAGCATCCTACTGTCCCCACCCCTGTAGCCCCGTCATGGCCCATTTTTTCAGCTGCCACTGCGTCGAACTTTTTGGACGTCTTTTTTTGTTTCCAAAGGAGTCCAAGAGGAAACTGCTACGTCGGAAAGGCTCTATGTATCGTGCCGTAATCAAATGTTCGATTCAACATTGGAAGAGTGTCCGAACCATGGCCTCTGCCTGTTGCAAAGTTTCTACAATTGCCCATTCCTTGTGTCCACGTGTGTGACCTCATTTCCGTTTGTGAATTTGGGATTGTTGGGGGGGGGGGGGCTGCATACGGGCTGCACGGGTATACTGCATGCCTCACATCACAAGCCTGCCTCCCAAGCCCCTACCTACATTTGCCACGATACCTCCTTTTTGTGACCCAATCCGATTGGCTTCCCGTTCCCCAGGTCGTCTCCGAACGAGCGAGCGCGAGCCGAGCGCGAGCCGGCCTTCTGGGCGGCAGAGAGGGCCACGTTGAAGCTCACTGCGTCTGGGCCGCTCCGGGCCTCCGCCAGAGAGCCCAGGACCGCCCCGGCGCGGCGCCAGCGGCCGCCTGACAGACAAACGGAGTCGTGTGGGGTGCTCGGATTGCTGCTTGATGTACCGAATCCAACCAGACAAGACACGACAGCTAGACATATACTGCTTCCTTTCGAGGCAAGCCCTTTTGAAGCCCAAGCAACTCTCGAGATGGAGAAGCGCGCCCCACCTCTCTCACATGCACTGGCCGCAGCGTTGATCGCAACTCGGTTTGGTGCCACACTCAATCTGAGCATGTCCTGCCGCACATGAAAGCCGGGCCGCGAATGACTCGTCCTTTGGGTTGGAGGAAAGATTGTTTTCGGCTGCTTGGACCTGGTAATTTGGGGCTCCAAAGTTGCTCCGAACGCAACCGGCAAGCAGGCTCTTGCGTAAGTGGAATGAACATGTGTTTAGCTGTGCGCGTCGTTTTGAAGCTCGAAAACCAGCCGCAAGAGTATATTTGTTCCGCACAACTTGAGGATCACAGGGCAGGATTTCAGCCACCAGATGCTATGCAATTCTCCGCGTTTGTTGATGCTAGAAAGCAGACAGCATGTGAAGGCGTGAGAGACGTTCGCACCAAGACCAAGAATAGCATCGCCACATTTCAGTACAGTGCTCCCGCCTCAGACTCCAAGAAAACAGAAACCACGGAGTCTTCAAGACACTTCGAATGCGGAAGCCACAAGCAGCCGCCGATTTCCACTGAAACGAACGGCTCCTGCAGCAATGCGAGCGCGAGCTGCCACTGCCGGCCGGCGGCACACGCGCTGATCGCGGCGCCAAAGCCTGAGATAAAAATCGCTGTCCCTGGCAAAAAATGCCCCGGGGGGGAGGCGGGGGGGGGGGGGGCTGGGTGTCCTATGGGTTTCTTAGGCTTCAATTGACTGCATTCCGGTATGTTCCCTTGTGTTAAGATTTTCTTCCACCCTTAGGAAAGCCCAACATCTCCCCAAGTCTCATCCGAAGCCTCAGAGCATGAGTTGGACTGAGCCAAGGTGGTTGGTTTCCTCTGGTTTCCCTTTCAAACCATCCAAAAACGGGGCTCTCTCCACAAGACGCGGGTATGTGTTGAAATCAAGGACCCCTGCCTAGAACCCTAAGTTTGGTCATGTCTTGTCAGATCGAGTGGCCAACGAAGCTTTGGTGGCTTCTAAGCAGCACTCAGTTGCTTGCTTCCTGTCTCTTGGTCTCGAGCTTAAGCTGGTTCTTCTTGCGAATCCAACAAGCGATCCCAAGTGGTTGCATCACGCCTTACAAACCAACCTGAGCGTTCAGTGGCTCTACGGGACTTCCGACGGCATAGGTACTGTGCGTGCCATGGAAAGCAGTGCCAGCAGGTGTCGAACATGATCTTCAGTCTCCCCTCCTTGGGAAGTAGGAAGCACTCCAAACGGCTTCATGGTGCCCCCCTTGAACACAGACAGCCTTTTGGAGATGGTCTCCCAAACCCCCTCCCCAAGAGGTGTTTCCTAAAATGTCACCCACCTACCATGGCCCAAGAGTACTCTTGGCTTTGGCAGGCCAGCCTTCCCTGACCTCCAAGCCAAGTCGATCGTCCAGCGGCTCACCTCATCCAGGTCCTCCAGCCGCGCCGCTGCCAGCAGTCCTCGAGCCGTCGGCCACTGGCCCGCGCTTCCGCAGGCGCTGAGCAGCGCGCTGAAGGCCACCTGTTCCGGCTGCAGCCTCTCGCTCCGGGCTGGGGGGGAAGGGCCTATTTGGATACCAAAAATGTGGAAAGTGGAAAGCAGAAGGCGCAGAGAACCCAAGCCAAGCAAAAAGTCACGGGGGTTCACCTTCTTGAACTGCCAGCTGCCAGTGGGATTGGCTGAGAACCATCCCAGGAGCTCAATGATCCGAGCAACCCGACTGACAGAGCTCTTTGAAAGGTGCGCAACCGGGGGGGAGGGGGGCAAAAGGTGAGAGCCGCAGCTTCAAGGAGCCAATACGTCCAATCGCCGGATTGTCCTGCGAAGCCCCATGTGTGGAGGCTGGTCTCATGTTGACTTCGTGTCAAAACCCGGAGTTGGACATCTGGCTGTGACACATGGCTGTGGCTCAAAAAACCGAACCCTGGCAAGTGGAAACATGGACCAACACCTGCGTAACCCCTCCTGTTTAATCTTGAGCCACACCCACATTCTCTGCAAAGCCTTCAGCCATAAACCCACCAGGGATTCCAACGACGAAACCCCGCCTGCAGGCCCAGAGCTGCAGCGCCCGGCGCCAGGGCGCTGCCGGCACCAGGCCAGCACCCCGCGCTAGAAGCGCTAGGCTGTGGCGCCAGGGCGCCCCAGCGCCTCAGCCGAGAGCCGCGAGCCAGAAATGAACGCCGCAGCCTTCTCTTTGCGGGGATGGTGAAACGCGTCAACTTGAGTGATTGAGCGATCCATTCAGGGGCCTTCAGCCAGCCTCCTCCAATGAGCCCGAATCCTCAACTTCAAAGCCAAAAGAAAAACCGCCCCTTACGCAATGCGGCTCACCTGCCCAGGCGCCACTGTACGCCTCAAGGTCCGCATGGAACAAGGCCAGGCGCCAACGCGGCAGGGCATTGGAGAGGACGTTCCGTGAAACCTGGTCCGGCCGAAGTGCCCGGGTCTCCATCCAGCGCACGCGGTCCAGCGCCAGGGCCCAGCGGCCCCTCAGCGCGCTGAGCACCGTGTTGTGGCCGCCTCGGAGCTAGTACCACAGGTGACAAGCAACCGCCAAGGCATAGCCTCAGACGCGCCCTTCGCAGGTAATCAGAACAGGCCCACTCTCCAGACTCTCCAGTCAATCGAAAACGGTGCGTCCGAGTCGCTGATCCCCACTCGGCCAAGGCGCCCGAGGCACCACTCCCAGCAAGTTGCCTTGGCCGCCGCGCCCAGCGCTGTCGCCCGGTTCGCGCCGTCCGCCGCGAGGTGCCGCCAGGCCAAAGCCGACAGCGCCGCGGCGCCACGTTGCCAGGGAAGTGCCCGGGAGATGCTGCCGAAGAGCTGACGGTCCAATTGCAGCTGCTGGGCCTGCTGGATTCTGGTAGATTCTGCCCGGACTCTTCGGAAATGTTTGAACCCCTTTTCCTTGAAGTCTTCATCACATCACGCTTCATGGAATTGGCTCCCTGTATAGCAGGTGATGTTGGTTCCATATTTCTCTCAGCAAATCGCTCAATATCCTGGGATTTGATTTTCTGGCCCAGTGGGCATGGGAAAAGCACGCCCATCTTTTGGATGGTTTAGGATGAAAAGCCGAACAACCCAACAAGAAACGGGGTGCGCATCTGCGCTCATGTACATGCAAAGGCAGCAAGGCATGCGCCTGAGTGTGTTGAAGTAGCGCCATGGCCGCCGGCCAACTCTCCAACGAAATGGTGCTGAAGGTGATCACATCTGGCCTGCAGAGCACCGGGACCCGAAGCTCCAAAGCTCCGAAGCTTCCGGCCCCGGGTCATGATCAAAGGGCCTCTTCCACGGTGGATTGAATTTTGCTTCTCCTGTTTCAGCATTTGGGTGTGAGTCAAAGCGGGCGAACCTCATCCAAAGAGAGCTTGTGTTTACGTTACTTCCCTCTTAAAGCCGCCCCCAGCCGGGCCCTATCAAACACAGACACACAGAAACACAGACACACACTCTGCTATCCCCGCGACCCCCTGGGAGTTTGGGCTGCGTGGCTGGTCAAACTCCTTGTGTGAGTGGTCATCATTCGTTTAGGAAGCCGCTAAATTCCCCAAAGAAGGGGTTGATGACCTCCCTACCACAACCAACTGTGGATTTTGGCCACTGCATACATGCGATGCTCCTTCCACATGACCTCATGAACCCCCCGGCCCACTTTCCAAAAGGTGCACATGTCAAATTTTGAAAACAGCCTGGGCATCAACGCCTATCGGGGACAATCAAGCTGGTGGACTCTCCCAAGAAGTGATCGGCTCCCCTGTAAAATGGGCTCAACATCAATCCGGGCTTCATCAACTGGGGGTTCATTACCCTCTTGCAGACTAGAAATCTCCTTTTGGGGGAATTCCAGATTCATCCCACATCTTGCCCATTGCCAGTGGTCTGCCAACCACTGGATTATTACTCAACTGGATCCCCGTTACCTGAACTTCGACGGATTTCAGGTTGGCTCCGTTAGCCAAGGAGAGGTTTTCAAGATGGCTTATAACTTGCCCCCTTTTGGTATTTGGCCATGGGTCAAAATCCCGTACCCAGTCAACATCCCAATCCCCACTAAAATAGGTTCCAAAATGGGTGGTGAATTCACCTACCCCAAAATGGGATCCCTTTGGTTTTGACAACCACTGCCATTTAACGGGAAAGACGGAAACCGTTGCCATCAGGTGCCGTCGCCCCAAGGTGCCTCAGGTGCTGCATCCGCATCTGCCGCGGTATCTCCAGGGCCTCGAGCCACCGCATGGCGCCCGCCGCGCCGTTGCAGAGTGCCGCGTCCGGCCTCCGGAAACGAGCTGAACCAAAAAGCAGAATGTGAGAGCACGTCAAACAAGCAAGAAAGCCTCATTCTGTGTGTGTTTCTACTTAAAATAGGGAAGAAAAAAAACAAAATAATAGGAAAGAAGATGAACCTGGATGAAAGGAAAATGAAAGAAATTGAAAACAGGGAATTCACGAACAAAGGAACAAAGGAACAAAGGAACAAAGGGATGGATGGATGGATGGATGGATGGATGGATGGATGGATGGATGGATGGATGGATGGATGGATGGATGGATGGATGGATGGATGGATGGATGGATGGATGGATGGATGGATGGATGGATGGGTGGGTTGGTGGGTGGGTGGGTGGGTGGGTGGGTGGATTCATGGATGCATGGATGCATGGATTCATGGATTCATGGACGGAGGGAGGGACGGATGGACGGATGGATGCACGCCATGAATGAATGAATGAATGAATGAATGAATGAATTAATGAATGAATGGAATGGAATGGAATGGAATGGAATGGAATGGAATGGAATGGAATGGAATGGAATGGAATGGAATGGAATGGAATGGAATGGAATGGAAGGGGAAGGGGAAGGGGAAGGGGAAGGGAAGGGAGGGAAGGATTTGAATTGAATTAAATTGAATTGAAATGAATTGAATTGAAATGAATTGAATTAAAATGAATGAATGATTGAATGAACAAGTCTAAAATCTACAACTCTAGAACATGAAGCAATATAATATGTGTATGCTGCATGTAAATATACTTATACATATATATATATATATATATATACAGTACATGAAGCCAGCAGCTCGGGCGTGCACAAAATGTAGCGCGGGCGTGCCGCTACACCACGCAATCCGTTTTTTCAATACCCAGGCCCTAGCCCGGTGTTGCCCAAACCCCGGGCGGGAAGGCCGTCCACCAATTGTGAAAAGGATCGCAACTCCCGCAAGTTTCAAATGCCAGACATCGGCGTCCACTTCTTGGATAGAAGGGAAAGGCAAACCCGTCGAAAAGCGCCGGTCGAGTCCCCGATTTCCGAGCTTCGGACCTTAGCTTGGACCTCATCTCGGCAAAGATCCGCAGGGCAGCATCCCACTTCTCCTGCACCGATGTCGCCGTTCGTTTTTTTCACTCGCATGCCCCAGGTCCGTGGCTCGGAGTGGCCAGACATCGCAACTGACGAAGTTTCGCCGAAACAACGCCTCGCTCTTGATGCTGCTAGTCACCCTGCATGTGGCAAAGCGAGGGACCGCCCTAAATGTTGATTCGAGCTAGTGCCCTCTCCGAACTGTCCCAAAGGGCGTCCGACTCGTTTGACCTTGACGTGATCTTCAGGGGCACTGCCAGGCCATGTTGTGGGCAAAGCATGACCCCTATCCAAAGTGAAACAACCCACACGCCTAAGGCCGAAGCCCTGAGTCCCTCAAGCACAAATCGCAAACATAAATTACAGGAAGCCCGTCCCAAATTCTCGGAATTTCTCGGGAATCCGCTCCAAATTGAAGCACCACAGTGCCAACCTTCGCAATTGCGTCTTTCTTCCTGGTAAAAGCTCGTGGGGATGCCCCAACTTCAATTGGTGCCGCGGAAAGCGCTCACACAGCGACATCCTTGTAGGTGCCCAGGATGGAGCTGTAGGTGAAGATGTCTTGGAGCCTAAGCGGCCCATACGAAGCCAACGGCGAGGCCCCATTAAACCCGTGTCAGGTTGTCCAAGAGACCTGATTTGGAAACTGTGAAGGCTGCACCATATGTGACGTCGCTGGAAAAATTGGCATGTGCCCCATGTCCCTCCCAGAACGACTATTGACTACTGGAAACTTTGACCGAACCGAACCTCGTCTTCGATGGGGCAGGTTTCGGTGGAGGTCAAACCTTTTCGCTCACCAAGTCAAAGGGAAAATGGCCCTCTTTCTGTCACGCCGATGCGGGGGCTACCTGGCTGTTTGGGGTGTTGTGGGATTCGTAAACTGGTGAGGGGTGCCATGACTTCCCAAATTGGGCTCCCCTTGTCACTGCGAAATTAGCCAAAGGATTGTCACTTGAGGAACATGTCCAAGGGCCTCCACATGACAGCCTTATTTCCTGGAAGCAACAGCCCCTTTCCCGGCCACTGCAGCTGGCACTGACTTTTTGGTTGGTCCAAATTAGGGGGCATTTGCTTTGCATCCGATTTGGCTGGATTTTGCTTGGCGGCACTGTCCGTAAGTGGGAACCGGCCACTTCCGTTTGCCAACCTGTTGCGTTTTGCCGAGGCTCAGCAGCCTGTGCCTCATGTTCGCCAGCAAGGTCCCGGCGCCTTGCCAGGTTTTCGTGTCACACGCCGCCAGAGCCGCGTTGTAGTGGATGGAGTTGACCTCCTGCGCTTCGCCCGCAAGAATCTCAGAATGGTTTGCAAAACACTTACATGCGTCATACATGCCGGTGTCACTCGCCTAGTGCTTGCCTGTCCAAACCTGCCAAAGCCTGTGCCCATGCACTCTTGAGCACAGGGGGTGCCACCCTTCGATGCCAAGGGGCGATGCTCTCGCTGGTCATGATGGCCAGCACATGGTGTGCCACTGAGGCCGAGCCAGCACGCGCCAGCCGCTTGAGGATGGCGGTGGCAAAGGCTGGCTTCTGCTGCCTCGTCCAGCAAGGAAGAAGGAGGGAGGAAAAGGAAGTTGCAGTAACACTCCAGCAGCCGTGCAGGCTTAGTCAGCGATTTCCAACCAACTCAGCAAACCCTCCACAAATAAAACATCAAACCTTGGCTTAAGCAAGACGCAGGCAAAAAAAACACGAAACCAAACGAAAACCGCCGAAAGGGAAGTGAAAGCCTAAGTTCAGCCCCTGGCACCCCAAACCCCTCATCCCGCACGGCCGGGCCGCCAGGTGCGCAGCTCCTCCCTCAGCAGCTCCGCCACCGCCCGCCGCTCCTCCCGCGGGTCTGCCGGCAGCTCCCGCAGCCGGGCGGCGAGGCTCTCCGCCATGGCGGCCGACGAGCCCCGGCTGCGCGGCTTGCGGCGATTTCGAGGTGACATCGTGGGGTGCCTCTCACCCCCCCCCCCGGGCAAAACGGCCATCAAAGAGGTCCTCGCAGTTCTTGCCGGAGTAGCGAATGCAGTTGCCTGCCGCGTCGTACTCGACGGACTTCACCTGCCCGTCTCTCCCTTTCTCACGCAGATTGCCCGGTTGAGCGCAGGCAAGGCCTCCACAGTCATCTGGATCCTCGGGTACACGGCAACCGATCGTGTCACACTGACTGGGAGTGTGGACTCATGCGCTTTCTTGTGCCATGTCCACGTGCAGCCGAGCTTCTTCTTCACCTCTGTCTGCACTGTCCCTGTGCTGCCCTCTTTCTGGATCTGCACAGGAACACAAGTCGGCCACCGCTACCACTTGGCAAACGCGATGCCGACCGAGCCGCTCACTCGCCGCTCGCACGCGCTCTTTTCAGCCAGAAGCATCTGGGTCCGAAACGTGGACACACTTCAGATGGCCGAACATCCCACACCAGCTCAAATCTTC